CAGGCAAGAAAAAGAAATAAACGGGATCCAAATTGGAAAAGAAGAAGTGAAACTGCCACTATTTGCAGATGGCATTATTTTATATATAGAAAACCCTAAAGAATCCACTAAAAACCTTTTAGAAATAATAAATGAATACAGTCAAGTTGCAGGATACAAAATCAATATACAAAAATCAGTTGTGTTTCTATACAGTAACAACAAAGTAGGAAAAATAGAATTTAAGAATGCAATCCCATTTACAATTGCAACCAAAAAAAAATGAAATACCTAGGAAAAACCTTAACCAAAGAGGTGAAAGATCTTTACACCGAAAACTATAAAACATTGTTGAAAGAAATTGAAGAAGACACAAAGAAATGGAAAGATATTCCATGCTCTTGAATTGAAGGAATTAACACAGTTAAAATTTCCATACTTCTGAAAGCAATCTATAGATTCAATGCAATCCCTATCAAAGTTACAACAACATTTTTCACAGAAATAGAACAAGGAATCCTAAAATTTATATGGAACAACAAAAAGGCCCCAAATAGCCAAATCAATCCTGAGGAAAAAGAACAAAGCTGGAGGCATCAGACTCCCAGATTTCAAAATATACTACAAAGCTATAGTAAACAAAATAGCATGGTACTAGTACAAAAATAGACACACATATCAATGGAACAGAATCGAGATCCAAGAAATAAGCCCACACATATATGGACCGCTAGTTGTCGGCAAGGGAGCCAAGAGCATACAATGGAGAAAGAAGAATCTCTTCAATAAACAATGTTGGGGAAATTGGACAGCCACATGCAAAAGAATGAAAGTAGACCATCATCTTACACCATGCACAAAAATTAACTCAAAATGGATTAAAGACTTGAATTTAAGACCTAAGACCATGAAACCTCTAGAAGAAAATATAGGCAGGACGCTCTTTGACATCGGTATTAACATCATATTTTCAAGTACCATATCTTGCCTAACAAGGAAAACAAAAGAAAAAATTAACAAATGGGACTACATCAAACTAAAAAGCTTCTGCACAGCAAAGGAAATCATCAACAAAATGAAAAGACAACCTAACAATTGGGAGAAGATATTTGCAAACCATATATCCATTAAGGGGTTCATATCCAAAATATACAAAGAACTCATATATCTCAACAACGAAAAAAACAACAACCCAATTAAAAAATGGACAAAAGATCTGAACAGAGATTTCTCCAAAGAAGATACATAGATGGCCAACAGGTACATGAAAAGATACTCAACATCATTAGCTATCAGAGAAATGTAAATCAAAACTACAATGAGATATCACCTCACTCCCATCAGAATGGCTATCGTTAACAAGACAGGAAACAAGTGATGGAGAGGATGTGGAGAGAAGGGAACTCTCATACACTGCTGATGGGAGTGTAAACTGGTGCAGTCACTATGGAAAGCAGTATGGAGTTTCCTTAGAAAATTAAGAATAGATCTACCATATGATCCACCTATTCCACTGCTGGGTATTTATCCAAAGAACTTCAAAACACAAAGGCATAAAGATACATGCACTCCTATGTTCATTGCAGCATTATTCACAATAGCCAAGACTTGGAACTAACCAAGGTGGCCATCAAGGGACGAATGGATAAAGAAGATGTGATATATATACACAATGGAATACTACTCAGCCATAAGAAATGATGAAATCCAGCCATTTGTGACAATATGGATGGACCTTGAGGGTATTATGCTGAGTGAAATAAGTCAGAGGGAGAAAGTCAAATACCATATGATCTCACTCATAAGTAGAAGATAAAAATGACAAAAAAAAAAAAAAACACATAGCATTGGAGATTCGACTGGTGGTTACCATTGGGGAAGGGGGACGGGGGGAGGGTAAAAGGGGTGATTAGGCTCACATGTGAGGAGATGCACTATAATTAGTGTTCGGGTGGTGAACATGATGTAATGTATACAGAATTTGAAATATGATGCACATCCGAAAAAAATAAAATAAAATAAAATAAAAAAGAAATAGTTTATCTAAGATGATGTTGGAATATTTATCATTGGAGCTAGTGGTGGTTAAGAACAGATCAGAAAACTATCTGTAGAGACAGAGTTAGATATTTGTTCTAATCCAGTCTGGGAAGTTTGTGCCTTTTTCAAACCTACTTTTCCATAAATCTTTGTTATGGCCCGAGAGAGGGAACACTTCAGAAAATGGTAGCTCTGTAGGGGCACTGTGCGGTGAGGTTGACCACTATGCTTTCCACAAGATGGTTTTAAACTCTCCTTTTCTTGTATGGGAGCTACTGCAGTAAACCCTGCAGTCAGCAGCACATTTATAATATCCGGTAATCTTTCAAACTATTGTCCTTGATATGGTTATGAATCTTGTAGCTAAGAATCCTAAGGTCATTTCAGCTTCACTAGTCAGTTAAAATTTCTGAAACTTGGCTCCCAGTAGCAGAGAGTGAAACACTATAGGGAACACACACATGTTCAGGAAGTCATTGGAGTGCCCTTTAGGAAGTAGAGACACCAGATAGTTACAACTACTTTCTGTCGCTGGCTGGACTTCAGAAAGAAAGAGAGTCCTATTTAACTGCAGGAGTTAATAGACCAGATAGCTTAAAGGACAATGGGGACAGTTAATATTGCTCAATATTGGTTCATTATTAATATCATTGAAAGTCAATCTTATAAAAAGCATTATTGTAATACATGACTAAAATATGAAGTGTTGCTTGGCAAATATCACAAGGCACACACTTTCTGCCAAAAGGGCAGAGACTTGCACAATGTTATGAGTCTCGTAAAACAATGGATTTCTCCTACATAAATAAGCATCACGTTACTGACAGAAATGCAACATCAGAGTGAGGGCCCCTATGGGGAGAGGGCACAGAGATTAAGCGGGGACGACGAGAGGGTACAACTGTCCCGCCTTCTGTAGCATCTCTAAAGGTGGGCAGTACAAGGTTCCCTTGAGTGAGGACTTTGCAAGGACAGAGAGAGAGAAAACCGACACATAGAATTCTATTCTTTTAGTATCAAACCTCAACCTCTGAGAGGTCTAGGTCAGCTAGAGGAAGAGAGTGGAATTTAAATCCAAATTGAGCACATATAATAACATCACAGCAATAACGACTATAGCAGCAGCAGTTAAGTATATGTCTACTAGGTAGTGCCATGGATGCAAATAAGCAAATAAGTAAATAAATAAAACATAAGACACAGTCCCTCTCTTTCAGGAAGCCACAGTGAGGTTGAAGAGAGATATACAGTATAAACGTGCGAAAGGGCAAAGTAACTCAAGGTAGAAGACAGGCAGGAAATAACTGTAAAGCAATCAGAAGACATATATTAATCTCAGCCTGTCAATTAAATATAAGACGCTGGATGATTCACCTGACAATAAATATCTGGGAAATGAAAACAAAAATAGACAAAGTAAACTAACATGCAGTTCAAACAGATGTTGCCCAATGGCCAAGACAAAAGTGAAAATATGCTCAACTTACATAATAATCAAGAAAATACAACTTAATTCACTGCTTGGTAGCATCACACACCAACCAGAAGCCTAAAATAAATGAAAAAATAATAAAAGTCTTGAAAAGGATGTGGACAATCCAAGAATCTCCTACTGCGTTTGTGGGTGTGGAAATTGGTACAAACATCTCCCAAACCTCTTTGGCACCATCACCTAAAGCTAAAGAGGTAGAAACTCATCACCCAATAATTCCACTAGTATATATATAGCCAGCAGAAAGTGTCATGAATGTCATTAAAATATGTCCTAAATATACATACTAGCACTATTCCTAATCCTCTCAAACTGAAAACGACCCATAAGACTGTTAATAGAGGTAGGATTAAACTAATTGCTTTATACTCATACAATAGAATCTTACACAGCAATGTGAATGAACGATCACCAGCAACATGCAGGAATAAATTCAAAGACAACATAAAGGATGACAAAAAAAAAAGAGTTAAGGCTCTATTACTTTTTCAAATAAAATGCAAAAGAGGCTAATGTGACCTGTGCTGTTAGATGTCACAGCAGTGGTTCCCCTGAAGAGTAGTGACTGGGAGGGAGCAGAATGGGCTTCTAGGAGTCTCTTGACAATATTCTTTTGATCAATCTAGGTACTGATTACAGCAATGCATTCACTTTGTGAACTGTCAGTGAGCTATGCACTTATGACCTGTGAATGTGTCTTTAAATTTTTTAAATATATATCACCAATCAGAAAGGTGGGATGTAGTGAATTAGTGTCATAATGTCCTTATATTGTAAAGGTGGGTTGTAAGAGTATTAAATAGCATGACATTGTGATTAGCTTTTAAACTTATGCTGAAATTTCTAGGCAAAAATTAACACATAATGAGTATACAACTTTAAAAGAAAAGGGGTCAATTATAATGAATAAGTACAATGTAGACTCATATTTAAAAATTAATACAATAGAAGTTAACATAGATAAAACAAGAAAATAAACTCTATTGACACTGAAATATATCAATTGTGATATCAAAATTAAATAGACCAACTACATGTTTTAAACTCAAACATTTTTTACTATGTTCATTGGATTTTTTAAGAGCTATGGCCAAATGATAAGATTAAAGTAGGAAAGTTAAAAATTCATTCTATGGAATATTAACAATTAAACAACTAACATAGGAACATAACATCAAGTAACATACAGTTTAAGATTTGTCATTATTTGACTTCTCCAGAATATTATCCAGAATATTTCAGGACCTGGCGTTCATTCTTGCATGAATTCTCAAGTCCTCCACTGCAAGCATTAGTAACACATCAATCACATAAATTTATACACGATCATTACATAACATTAAAATTACTATTACAACCTATTGTTTATTTTGAAGAAGATATTCAGCTTCTCCTGTTAACATTCTCTGGTCAGCCAGACATAATTGTACTTAGGACTCCGAAGAGGATGAGTGAGTTACCTAATGAACATTGCACTAATACATACAGTTTACATATTTCTCATTTGATTAGGAGATTTTGTATTTTTTATCCAGGCAAAGCACAGCCTGGATACACTGCATTCACGGCTCATGAGCAGAAAGGGACTGAGACTTGGGAAAGACAGAGTGCTTACTGAGTCAGCATTCAAGAGGAACCAGTTGGGATTATTAAAAAGAGCCAAAAGTGCATGAAAAATGGAAGAAAGGGTGTTAAAAAAGACAAAGGTGCTCACCAGGAGAAGGACGGTTTTGGTAGCTCTGGACTCAGGGGAGGTTCTGAGGGAGACATTGGTCTTATGAAGGTGTTTCACTCTCTGCTTGTGCCTGCACAACATGAAAACTATGGTGTCACTGGCCAGAAACATGAGTCCCAAACAGAAAAGGTCAGGGAATGATAGCAATGCCGCATATAATGAGTCTCTGGTTTCGTCATGACGAACAGCAGAACAGTATCCAAAACTTTTTCTGTTTGTGATGTTTTTGTGGCTCCTGTAGCTACTCATAAATGTAGGATAAATTATATTTATCAATATTTGCAGGATCCAGCACAGGAAAATTGAAGGGACAATGTACTTGAGAGCTATCACTTTAATCTCTGCCCACCTGGAGTTCCTGGGGCTGATGATGATGGCCTGGAAGATACTCAAGAGGCAGGTGGTCCCAATGGACACCCCCCTGCCCACTGCACGAACATAGGGAAAAAATCTGCATCCAAAGTCACTGAAGAGTTGATACCACCCAAAAGATGACAATGTATAATGGATTCCACTAGAGAACAGGACCAATAAGTTGGCTACAATCAGGTTCTTGATAATCAAATCTGTGGACCTTATCCTACACCCAGTGAAATAAAGGAAGAGATAATGGCAAAGAAGAAAGCAATTCCCCAGGATTCCAAATGTAGTCTGTAATAAGAAGACCATTCCTACTGCCAAATCCCTGGCGGCCATCCTGTCAGTTCTCAGTGACTGATATTTATTTTCCAAGCTAGAGGATCCTGCAGGGGAATAGGAGGTGTGGATAACACATATCGTGTCAATTGAAATCCAATAGTCTCAACAGGTCCTAATTCGAAATAATTACTTTAAAGATCTTTTGGTCCTTTAGAGGCTTCCAAGAATTGAAAGTATAACCATTAAAGAACACTTGCAACGTATGAATTACTGCCACGAAGGTCACAGACGCAGTAATTTCTTTATTCCTCACAAATTCATGAGGCAGGCACTATTACATTCTTTATAAAGATGAGGACAACATAGGCACAGAGAGGTTAAGTGCTTCCTCTAAATTCGCACACTGGTTGGGAGCACAGTGGGGATTTTAACCTGGTAATTATGATGGTATAGTTAATCTATAATACACTAAAATAATACTTAGTTTTGTTCTTCAAATAAACCAGATATTAATTGAGCTTTATTTTTGCAGTGTATCATTTCAATTTAGATTGGAGACATTTTATTTAAAATTTGTTAATGACAAGTTTCCACTTACTTATGAAGACATTTTAGAGGCACATATAAACTTTAACTAAAGCTTTAGAGATCTTAATAAAATGCAGATGCCCTAGTTGCAGTATAAATCTGCAGGATCCTGTCCCAGTACAAATTGAGCATAATGAATGCAAGAACGTCTCGACATTCAGATGGCAACAGAAAGGTTCATTTGCTTTTAACTCAGGAACAAAAGTACAATGCTCTGAGTCACAGGAAGTATGAGACAGAAACACTGATGCCTGATAAGCAGTGTATGGTAGAAACAAATTATTACTAATTTCAGATCATATATATGCCCACTTATTAATACCTAAGTTAAATGAAAGTATAAGCAGTAATGCAAGATTTGTGAAAATATTAAAATGCAAGATACACACGCAACATGCAATCATGCAATGCTAAGGCAAAAAATCTTGTGTATTGTACAAACAACATTTTTGGATGTTATAATATATAGTGTTATAATATTTAAAAGCATCAGAAATATCAAAAGATAGATTTGAGCCTGCAAATGTTTTCTGAACTTATTACGTTATATTTTTATTAAAGGCTGCTTCCCTCACTTTAAGTGGGAAAAGTCTCTGTATAATCAATAGAGACACTATCGTGAAATTATTAAGCATTTCATAGACCCAGAGACAGAGAAAACACTTCTACTCCAGCTATAAGACACATTGTTTCTGCACAGGACCCAATGATTCCTATAGGTTGATCCTGCTCTTTATTACAAAACTTGAGGTACCCTGGGTGAACCTCTGGAAACCTGAAAATTACATCTATGATTCTTATAAGGTAAACTGAACAGCAGATTGACTCCTGAACTATAGTCTTTAAGCACATAAATATCAAATTTTATATTACTTGGATTAAACCACAATAATCACTGTCAGTGAGGATTACTTTACATTAGGAGCCATCCTGGATTGATGGAAGATCTAGGAACAAATCTTTCTTTATATCTCAGCTCATCTTCAAGATTTATTCCACCTTCATATATGGCTTTGGCATTGGACCATGTTCATATACAAAGGATTCCCTTTTTCCCAATATGTTCACTTACCCAGACTCCTGACACAACTCCTTCTCTTACAGATTCTAACTCTCAGATGAACATATAGAAAACCCACCCACTTTTTAACTGCTGCCTGGATGGTGGGCTTAGCATGAAGGTCAAAGCAGTCAGTGCATGTGTGACAGAGGTAGCCAGACCCTGAGATATGAGTTTGTGACTCTGTGACCTCACCTCTCCTCAGAGCTGCAATTATCACTTCATTTGTAGCATCATTGGCAGTAACAAGCTTGGGAGCTGAGAATATTTTTTTCAAAACTTTTTTCCCAGTTGCAAATTACCAAGAACTACAAGTTTCTAGCTAGCATCCCTTAAGAGACTATTAGAGTGTTTGTGGGAGGCATGGACTTACTTTCCATGAACCCTGGAGGCAGACAGCATCGCATATGGAGTAGGGCAGGAAATACTTAGGTCTGACACATGATGGACTGGTGGCGGGAATGTACATCTCAGTGGGTATTCTACTTCACCCAGAAGTTCTAGTTAAAAGTGAGTTCTTTTATAATTCACACAGCTGAGGTGCATCATAAATTGAGTTTTGAGCAAAGAAATTGAACAAGTCAAAATATCTGATAAATGTTTTAAAAAACATAAAAGTCACAAGAAGAACATGATGCCAATAATTTCATTTAGATTTCATTGCACTCATTTGCACAACTGAATATCAATGAATGTGTAAACTGTTAGGAAACTCTACTAATATTGACCCTCACCAATGATCGGAAGCAGAAGCACACTATAGAGAATATTTTAAAACAGTCCTTCAGAAAGAAAGCACCAGAATCAGAAGGTTTAACAGGGAGATTCCACCAAGCTTGTAACTATCAGATAAGCCAATGCAACTTCCTTTATTCAAGAACATCAAATGGTCAACACAGTCCTCTATCCTTTTTTTCACAAACTTTTCAGGAAGGAACTATGATTGTTTTTTAATTTAAGAAATATATTTTTGATTGGTCATAAAAATATAATTATAAATTATAAGTTGAAGTTAATTTTTTCAGTTTTCCTACACATAAATCATCTCTTTGATGCAAGTTCACAATGCTATCATCAACACTTGTCAAGTCAGTTGGCAGAGCCATAATAGTGGACAATCTGTCTTACACAAACACACAAACTTATTTACACACAGAAGCAAAAATGCACATGCATGCACATTTCCTCATACATTCAAACTTACAGTCACACATTCACATCCTTAGACACATATACTGTCACTCACATGCTCTCATAATTTTAATTGCACACGCACAAACAATAATGCACACATTGAACACATAATTTATACTCATATAAGAAAATACTTATAAATACATACACTCACATAAACTCACGATTATACGCTTTCATAAATTAACAGTCACCAAGAATGTGTTTATCTCAATTACATTATTTTATATGGAAGAATAGTTGTATTTCCAGACCTCTGAATGCCTGAATAGGGGGGTCTTGCTACCCTCTATAGTTTTTATGACCCTGCAACAATCACAAGGACAATATTTATTACAATGCACAGCACTTAAAATGTGCTGTGAGCATTTTCACCTTATGTCAAGACACATGCTAGGAAACTTGGACTGTTTAGGCGAGTGACAGTGTGTATGTGATAGAGTGGAGTAGGCCACAGTACAAAGGAGACATAAGGATTGTATGGGGGTACAGACAGCCTAGAGGCTTGGAGTTATAGAGAGTACAGGGGAAGACAGTGAATAGAAAGAGAAAAGGCAATGGTTTTTAATATTGGTGAAGTATTATGTTGCAGTGATGGAGATGAAAGTGCAAGTGGGCAAAGTGTGCAAGGAAGTGAAGGTGAGGGGATATTGGGATCTGAGGAGATGAAGGGGGGATAGTATCAAGGGAAAAAAGGGCTAATGGGGAAGGGAAATTAATGGCAAAAGTGAGGAAAGGCCAGAGGTGGGTGCATTTCAACAACATGGTTTGGGGAAAAGTGAATTCAGATGGGGTAGCAGATCTTGTTAGGTGATAACAGCCCAATTTGAGCAGAGTGTGGGGAAAGGAGGTGGCACTAGGGAAAACTGTGGGCATGGACTTGAAGGCAAAATGGGCGGAGGACAATGAGGCAGCTGGAAATGACAGTGGGCAAGTGTCAGTAATTATAGGGTTAGTTTAAATGGGTACTGGGTGTGGATTGCGTTCCTGGGGCCATTATGATGCCTATGAGTTCAGGACTGGGATGAATGAGAGTCCAAGATCCTAGAAGTCACAGGGCATGGCATGAGATATTGGAACTGGGTGTGGATAGAAGACAAGAGAAAGAAAGCCAGGCAGAACAGACTTGGCAGAGGTGACAAAGCCTGAGGAGAGTTAGACTGAGATCCCTAGAATACTGGTCACAGAGGGTTGGAGGTGAAAATGGTCTCAAGCTGAAGGTAGAGAGAGCAATACTGAAGGCAAAAGTGTTCAATGGAGGTCAGAATGTGAGTGGAGTTCTATTGGATGTCTAAAGGTCACAGGTGGACAGATGAAGGTGTAGATGGGGGCACAGAGGTAGAGTGAGAGGATGGGTGAGTCTATGCATGATGTAGGTTGTTGAGGGGAGAATGGAGGCTACTAATTGATTCCCTCATTTATCTACTCCTTCACTTATGATCAAACCAGAGGAGTCATGTGTGCTTTCTTTTTTTATTGAAATATATTTGACATATAGCATTGTGTACATTCAAGATGTCTATCATGTTGATTTGATACATTTATATATGGTCATATGACTAGCATTGTAGCGATAGCACCTTTATGACAACACTAATTATCACTTCTTTATGTGTTTGGAGTAATTGAGATGTAGACTCTTAAGAAGTTTGATGACTACAATAAAACATTGTAGTCTATATTCACCATCCTGTGCATTAGATCTCCAGGATCTGTTCATCTGCTAGCTGCAAGTTTGTACCCTTAAACAACTTCTCTCTTATTTCCCCAACCCCCTGCCTCTGGTAAGCACCATTTTGCTTTATGATTTGATGCGTTAGGCTCTTTCAGATTACACATGTAAATTAGAAAATACAGTATTATTCTTTCTCTCTCTGACTTGTCACATGTAGCATAGTGCCCTCAAGGTCCATCCATGTTGTTGCAAATGGCAGAATTTCTTTCTTTCTCATGACTTAATAGTATTTCATTGCTCATGGATATCACATCTTATTTATGCATTCATCCATTGACAGACACTTAGGTTGTTTCCATATCTTGGCAATTGTAAATAATGCTGTAATGAATATGGGATTCCTGGTATCTCTTCAATAACTCTTTTCATTTCCTATGGTTTCTAATTTCTGTTCATGGGAAAAACTCTTGCTCATATAATATGTTCCTGAATACTCTTTAAGTTCAATCTAGAGTAGAGAAGAGCATCTAAAATTTGGGA